CATAACACACAAGCAAACCTTAATATACATAATCCACATCCAATACTTTTCACTTAGCTTGCATGGGATCATTAATTATTCAAAGTCTGCCATCATAGACATGTTTTCAAATACGCAAGAAGCTTTATCAAAAGTATGCAGACTTTAAACGATCAACGCTACCATCCAAACAAGTTGTGTTACTCTTCTCTTACCACTCGCTTCTCCTTGAAATCGATCCCAACAGTAGATATGAATCTGGAATTGAAGGTGCCGTCCGTATATTGATAGAGAAAGCTTGTTTTGCCGACGCCAGAGTTCCCGAGCGCCAGGAACTTCACCAAATAGTCGTAATTCATTCTGTCGTGAACGTCTCGGTTGAGGATCCCGCGATGGTCCCAGAAGAGGTTGTCAATGAAGAGTCGAATAAATGGTCCAGCCGGAAGACGAATGATTGTTGCTGTCAAACGTCTCGTCTCTCGTCACCGACGTCAACTATCGAAGGCGCGCGGCGATCAACGTGGACACCTGTTGCCAATGTTGTCTACGTGTGCCACTTTCGAAAGATCTGCGCCCCCGTTGACGCGGCACGCCGTCGAACTATGTCGCGGACCAGGCAATCGTCGTCCAAAAATCGATCACTCGTGTGTCCGAGCTCGTGTCTCCAGTCAAATCTGACGCGTGTCAAGTCAGCGCACCCCCGTAATAAACGCAACCAGACCACCCCGCAATCACGACCGTGGAGTGACGTCCGTGACGGCAAACGACAGACAGGCCGGCGCAGAAAGCAATGGCGCTGCAGACGCATAGCGCATAATGTAGGATTCACAATTTCACACTGCAACACCGACGTGCGTTAAGTTAAAACTGTTAAAAGTGCTTCGGGTCCAGATTTGATTAATAATTTTCTAATTTCATTTTTACCGGATGAGGCATTGGAAATTTTGGTTACTTCATTTAATCAGATGTTAGAACAGGGTAAGTTTCCGGAAACTTGGATAAGGCTAATATAATATTGATCCCTAAACCACATGGCAAGAGCTTAAAGTCGCAAGCAAATCGACCAATCACAATCGAAATTACGATCTCGCGTTTTAAAACGCTCGACTGTGATTGGCCGATTTGCTTACGGTCTTATGAATACGACTAAAATTTTTGTACGTGTGATGGCCTTTAGACCCATCTCGCTTACTTCCACTGTAGATAAAATTTTGGAAAACTATTTATTAGAAGATTTGAGCGATTGCTGGAACTGAAAAACGTTATTCCAGTGTCACAGTTTGGTTTCCGTAATGCGGGGTCTACAATAAAAGTCGTAGCGGTCGTAGAGTCTTAAGTCGTAGAAAATTGACCAATCACAGTTGATTATTCTTCTCATATTCGACTGTGATTGGTCAATTTTCTACGACTTAAGCCCTTACGACCGCTACGACTTCTATTGTAGACCCTGCATTAGAATACGGCAAGTTAGTATGAACGAAAGCATTGAAATCCTATAGTTGAACTTTACCGGCACCGGCATAAGTTAACGGTTACGGCCATTATAAATCAGACTTTCTTCTTCTAAATTTGGCTGTGTTCCAAAATTGACTGCCTGTACTGAAAATCTATAGTGCACGTGACGTAAACTGTCGCATTTTCAGTGCTGACAGTAAATTTGGAACACAGCCTTTGTACAAACGCGTATTGTATGTACGCGATAGAAAATACCGATTCCCCATGAGGCGTATTTTTCGAATTGCGTAGGTTACAAAAACCAATCGTAAATTCGTTTAGCATTTCTGTTAGAGTGTACAACAGAAATTCTAATCAGCAATTGGTTGCATTAGTTCCGCATTTCTCTGATCTTCCGCGAAATACGCCCAATGTGAATGCCGGCTTTCAGAATGGCGTATTCTAGTAAATAAAAAATAACGTATTCTAGTAAATTACTAGAATACACAGGTTACGCTTACGCAGGTTACGTCGCATGTGACGGCGCCCTGAAGCCAGCAATTCACACTGGATCCGATGTGCGTCGTACGACGCTTTACAACCAATCAGAAGACAGGATTTTGCTTCGTATCATCGATACGAAATAAAATTCTGCTTTCTGATTGGTTGCAAAGCGTCGTACCACGATCCTGCGATTAAATCAAGCCGATAAGTCAGGGCTACTGCACGACCCTGCGAATCATTGTATCTGTTTGGTCTATATTTTTAGTTCTAACGGAATATACCAATAAGATGCAAGCGCTCACTGAGCGATTATAGTACTGAATGCACCCATTGACGGGCAGTGTAAATCCATTTTGACATAATTCTCTACTGTGCTATGATTTTATCGACAGGGTCAGAAAATGGATATATTGGCGATAGTGTACGCGACGGTGACAGGAAAATGCTGGATTCACACTGCATCCGATTTTCGTCGTACGACGCTCACAAAAGGCCTGCATGGCTTTTCTCAAGTTTCTCTCAGTTTTTCCCTAATAACTGAATTAAATGGGAATAAGAGAGAGAATTTATAGGTATGAATGGTATGATAGGCATATATAAACGAAATGTTCAATAGCAAATGAGAATAAGCTGTATTTCAAATTCATTGTCATTCATTCATTGTAGTATATCAATTTGTATGCATGTACACGTTCCGCGACTTTTGTTTTTTTTTTATTACACACACGCAAGTGTTTTTTTAATTCATTGATTAATCAATCGTATTGTGCACAAATATAGCTTTTACAAGACAAAGTTACATTTGTTCATAACGTAATTGATTAATCGATAAATTAAAAACTTGTCGCTTAACGAGAATAACGAAAATGGTTGTTTACTGTGCATAGTTGCTGTACTGGATTCTATTTCGATGCTACTACGTGCATTGCGTGTGTCAACAAAGTATAAAAACAAGAGAAACATGTGATGTTAATGTACGTACAACGGTATTATTTTTGTTATCGGTTATTATAAACATAGATTAGGTTAGATTATGCTCTAATAAAATGCTGTTTTTAGGGGATGAATCGTCAGTAGTGGGAGAGCAAGTATGTTGATGTACTACCGATCCATGACTTAAAATATGATAATATAGCAGAAGAAATGAATGTAAAAGTTAACGTCGAATATTGGTGAGTGTATGCCCACAATCATTCAATAGAATTCTTTATTAATTCAGATTATTCATGTTATAATTAATGAGATTCAAGTTTTTTTTAGATATAAAAGAGTACATCTTATTCCTTAATCCTAATGTTAACATTATATTTATTTATATCGTTTACAGAAATCACGAAGAAACAATTTCATTAAGAAATAGTGTACATTTTTATATATTAAGTAAATAAATTGGAAATTATATAAATATCGCAGCAAAATGTTTAAGCATAGGTTATTATATAAATATTTTAACTTACCTGTAACAATTACTCAGGACCACAAAAATATTTTACAACACAAATTGGAGTAGTATTTATTATAGATTTTGAACCGCTGAATCTAAATTCGTAAGCTGTTTGCTCCATTACGTCCAGTTTTTTAAATGATCAAAATTTTTTAAATAATAGAAAATCTATGAAAATTGAAATATTTGAGAAAAGAGCAAAAGTAAACATGATATTAAAATACAGTTGCAGAATTAATTTAAATATATTTTGGTAAGTTAAACAAAGTGTAAGAAACAAAAAATTTGCTTTATTAAAGTTAAGAGAGAGAGAGAGAGTATTATAGTTTAATAGATCATAAAATAAATCAGTTAAAAAAATTATTTTTTCACAAATATAATTAAATATCTAATTTTTATACTGTGAGCTAGATGTTTATGCTTAATGAATTTGCTAATAATTAATACCACCATCTTGTCAAGTCCTAAACATGTACTCTATTTAATAAATATTTTTAATACAAAAATCTTTAATTTGGTTTACTTTTTGTCAATTATGAAATATAGGAATTATTTTACACAAAAATTATTTCTATTTATAATTGTTAAAGTTAATAATAAATATTTTTTCAATGTGGTCGGACACTGAGAAGTTTCCCTTGTATTATTTCTAAATTTATTTAATATAAAAGATTATATAAATTTATTTAAATAAAGGGTGATATAAATTCATTTAATATAAAAGAATGTATACTTCTTATTGAAATTATCTTGATTTACATAAATCTTTAAGATTTCTGTAAACTATATAAATTATAAAGGAATATAAAATATACTTTTTTAAAGGACTTTTATTCACAAATGTTTCTTCTGACTAAATAAATTATTATAATTTTGCAGTGGTTCGTGCGGGCACAAGAAACACTTCCTTGAATTGGAAGAGGAAATAAAGAAGAATGTCCCCAATGCCACTGTTTCTGGTACAGCAGGAAGGCAAGGCAAGTTGCAAACAGAACACGAATATGAAACATATAATCAGAACTGGAGCAAATACAAAACACAAATATCGAGCAAATGAAAGTTTTATAATTATTATTTTTAGCCTCTTTCGAAGTGCAAGTCAATGATGAACTAGTATACTCTAAACTCGAAACTCTCGCGTTTCCAGACTTTGGTGAAATTGCGGATATGATCAAAGATGTATCTACGGGTAAACCAGTGAAGAAAATTGAGCATCAGACTGCAGACTGTATATTATTATAAACACATTTTATTATAAATCAGGTACAAAATAAAAAAAACTTACTTTATTGATAGAGGAAAGGAGGCCCACATATTCTCCTCTGCTCTCTTACTCCATAACCGCAATCTTTTTTGCTTCTTTCAGTTTTTTTTCAATTACGTTCATTCTGTATACTTATCAATTATACTATAGGTAGAGATTCTTCTACCTATAGTATAATTGGTATCACTCTGTGGCTAACAACCTTGTACCAAAGTAGTTATGTCACATGAATATTTACTGAGTTATTTCAATAAAATACAATAGTATTTTATTGATTATTTTCATAATCCCTCCCTTCCTCTATAATAGCACTAAGTACTTAATATAACAATATGAGATTCTTCTGTACTTTGCTCAGGATTATACGTAAAGTTCAGATAATCATTTAAAAATTATTAGGAACAGTAAATGTGATCACCAATCTTAAGCATACTCTGCGTATTCTCCAATCTAGTTAAGTAGATTCCAAATTTTAGCTTCCCATGGAACTTTTCTGCTAATGTTCTCAGTGGTTCGATAGTCTTTTTACCAGTTGTTTGATCAATGCATATCATTTGACATCTTGTGCAAGGACCGTTTACCTGTCAATTAAATGAGTTATAATAATATACTTCGGATTAATAGCTTGGTGAATATAAAAAAATTCATACTTTAAAGTTATTATTTCCAATGCGAATATGTTCCCATTTTATTTCATCAAAAGCTTCGCAGCCTTCCACAATAATGTTTCCTCTAAACCGATGCATAGCTGTATCTTCTTTAAAATCTAAGTCATGAGATATCTTATCAATGAGCCATGACACACTTGCTTCGTTTATTGCTAAGTACTGTGCCTGGCTAGAAAATGATAACTCTGTCTTATCTAGTCCTGTAAGAGAAAAATAAGTTTACGTAACTTTGAACTTGAATATTTTGACATTTATATATATATATATATATATACCTTTCTTTTGTCTTCCGTGACTTTGTCGTACTAGTCTAAGATTTGGTTTTCCAAGTGCTAAACTCAACCATTCAGAAACTTCTGATCCGCAATCTATACCTTCTACTCTGCTTTCACATATTCTGCTTTGACATATAGGATGTTTTATTGACTTTTCATAAGTATTTTCTAAAGAAATTTCAATCATTGGCATCCCTGGAATAATTTATTATTATTATTATGTCAAAATAACGCTACATTGAGGGGATGCTGAAACAAAGGCAATTACCACGAATTGTAGTGCAATCAAAATTTTCGAACTTGGTTGAAGGATTCAAACATCTTTTTTTACAAAATTAAGATATGTGCAAATAAAAAGTCCGATATATTTAAACAATAAATGTCCGATGTATTTGATTTCACAAGAAAATCACATGAAAAATGGAAAAATTTACTTTTGGCTAGTACCTGAAATTAAAGCTTACTTGGTATAAAAGTTTTATAGTTTATATGAGCAGCATAAGTATCCAGTAAACCTCGGATTACTTGGACAAACAATACCGAATTTGTAAATTGAAAGAGTCTAGAAGAAAATATTTTTAGGTTGAATGTAATTCACGTGTATTACGTTTGCTTAGCAAAGATTTAGAATGATAAACATAGCAGTAATCGTGTCTTTAGTAGATGCTTGATCTTGCAAGAGCACTGCAATATATTATATAAGGACAGAGATCTACACGTTTCAGTGAGACAGAACGATAACGTAAAAAACTGATTGTGAGTAAAAAATCTGTATTATCGACATCGAAGTTCAACCGTCGCTTCAACATTCCCTTAAATTGCATATTATTAAATCTACAGAACTCAATCATTATTACCTGGATATGTAAGTCTCATAATTTTTTGTTTTTTAACAATAACCGGCTTCAGCAAACATAGATTCGTATAATGTTTTTGCGTCAAGCAAGTTCCAGAAGATGTCATTATCATCCACTCTCTGTCATATTCTAGACCCTTTGAATTTAAATTCCACGAATCTGTAATTTCGTATGCTCCACATGATTTGATAGGATATATAAATAACCGTTGTAAGATATATTTGTTTATTTGTGTATTTATTTTGTTAAAATTTATAGAATTTCTAATATGATCAAGATTTTTATTTTCATTATGGAAATTGTTCTGGAAATTATTTACATTTTTTTCGTTTTTTATAATACGTGAAACAGAATAATCTATATTAGAATTATAAAAATTCTTATGATTTTTAAAAATTCCCATCTTATGGTCTTTCCACCATTCCGGAAATTTTCTGATACATGGTTTGTCGATGAAACATTTGGTGATCATGAGTAAGATTGTCTGAACATCTTTTATTGTAGACATATATCCGAAGGAAATTCTCACTGCTCCAGTCGGTTTCCCATTTATCAAATCTGCGGTACCACTGCACGTATATCCCGTCTCATAATTTTGAAGAATATCTTTAGTCGAAAGAGATAAATGTCTCTGACATGCACCGGGATTACAAAAGCAGCCTGTCCTTAGATGTATCTTAAATATTGCTGCCATATTCAAAACTTCCATGTATCCTACATATTCGCCATTGGAACGCATAACATTAAATGTAACAATGCCGCCTTGCGATCTGCGATCCTCATAATCAGAATCAGAGTACAGTTTCACGACTGGTTTGTCGTTACAATGATGTAATGTTAACAGGGAGTGATGCAGAGTTTTGGCGAGAGAAAACACGTGTTTTGATATTTGATCCATAGTTAGCTTCGAAAGTATTTCGAAACCATATTGTAACGATGCGATAGATAGAAACGGTACAGTTCCATCTTCAAACCTCCAAATCAAATTGTTTCAGATAATCAATACAATAGAGAATGCCTGTTTCAGATAATTTTTTCGAAATCAAATGTTATTCTTACTTACCTTTGATACAATATTTGACGTTTTCTGTGAAATCTTTCAGAACTCAGAGCGATGTCCACAGAACCGCCACCGTAATATATTTTATCTAGAACATCTGAGTTTTTGTTTTTAACCAGCAGAACGCCGATACCGGTGGGATAGCCGAACATTTTATAAAACGATAGACATACAAAGTCTGGTTTGTAAATAGACAAATCCAATTTATTCGTTGCCACGAAGCTAGCTGCGTCGAGTAGAACGTACCATCTGGTCGATGGTTTTTTAGCAAAAACAGAAAGCGCTCCAGCATGCGCATCATTGATCCATTTTAGGGGATACTTCAATCCAGAAAAATTGCATTGTGCAGAATACACGAAAAGAGAATTGCTGTTCCGTCTCTCGTTGAAATCATGAGTAGTAGTTGAATGTTGACTGAGAACTTGAAACGCCTGATCGTGACCTAGGCAAATGACGTCGGCTCCTCTAGCCGCGACTACATCCCGCATTCCGAGAACCGAAGTGTGATTGTCCTGTACGTAAACAAAACTTCCCGAATGCGGGGACGTTGCTATCTTGTTTTCATTCGTTATAAAACGAAATCCTTCCGCGATTATCTTTAGACTCGCTGTGGCACCCGAGGTGAAGATGACGCTGTACTCATCAGGATTGGTGTTGAAATGGCTCAAAACTCTGAGAATAATTATTCAAATTAATTGTAAATTCGTTATCGTATAATCATTCATTTATCTGTGACTCTAACCGATATCTCGTACGTTCGATAATGTCCTGCGTCAACGAACTCCCAATGGAATGTGGATTTGCATAGAGAGAGCCATGCAAATCGGCACCAACGTTCCTAATCTGCGTATCCGAATATAGAGTTGCGCCCGCGTGATCCACGTAGCACTCGCCTAAGGATCCACGCAAAAGTAAACTAGCATTTTTTATGTATAGCATCATTCATATGATACGTTTCTCTTGCATTAAATTAAATTTAAAATATTAAATTGAAGATCATATAAATGTTATTATTAATCTTATAGTGATAAATCAATAATCCAGTATTGATTTTTTAATCACGATAGAAATATTTAACATAGTAAAAAGATTGCAGAAAATATTAGTGAAATATATTTGCAAAACATCTTAAAGTTATCGGACATTCTTTTCATTAGAATCTTTTGGTCAATTTGGAATAAATCTTAATGAAAACATCAAACCATCTATAATTTTTATTTCAATTAATGAAACAGTGAGAAACTAAGAAGCTTCGAATGAGAAAAAGTATAATACAATTAAGAAAAGTTGCATGTCATTCAAACGTATAACATGGCGTAGGCACATCAATCAACAGTGCAGGCATTATTCTTACATGTACCGTCATTGTACAGTGATGGCACTACAAGGAGATGCCTTAGACACAAAAATAAATCTTTTAGAGAGAGGGAGAGAGAGAAAAGAGAAAGAGGTCGATTAAAAGAAGGATCTAGAAGTATTATATTTTTTATTATATAATACTAAATTATCAAAAAAGTTTTGAATCATCCTTTACCGTTTTTATTTTCAAATTTATTTTTATATACAAATTATTTAGAAACCACAACAATTATTCTTTAAAATATTTCATGGATCATGTTCGATAACCATTCGTCACTATTATTATTACCAGTCAGTTAGCTGTCGGATTTAAGTATCATTCTGACTCCAAGAACTCACGACAATCTGTCTCAACTTGCTCAACAGTTTCGAATCGTAATCCTGGCAAGAAAAGTGTCATTAAACAGACCATAATCAAACCATGCAAGATTAGGATTATATGCCGGATGCGGTAGGACTTCGAGCCGTTTAGATGAATAATAGCCTCCTGAGTAGTCACCACAGCCATATCGTATTATGCCATATTGAATCGTGACATCAGAAGCGAGGAATGATACGTTAATTTATGTTGCATGCCATTTGTAATTAAAGACAATTTGGATAAATCTAAATGATGAGATTGCTTTAAAACATTTGTAAAAATCGATGGAAACTATGCTTATCCTCCCTGATAGTCAGTAAATAATCGTAAAAAGTGACTATTCAGGACAGCTAGCAGACTGGTAACGAATGGTTATTGAACATGCTAATCTATTTTAAGGAATAATTATCATTTCTGAAAAAATTTGTAAAAACCATTTTTATATGTATATAAAATTCAATGGGTGATTTAGAATCTTTTTTGGCTTAGTAAAATTATCATTTGATTGAAGGCACGTTGAAAACAAAAATAACAAAATTAATGTACCTCATATATCACGTTGAGTTCCTGACACTGATCTGCAGCTATTTTAACTGACACTTATGCAGTTTTAATTTACTTTTTATAATAATAATCATTTTTAGACCGTACATGTGAGAACACAATCGATAAGCTATAAGAACCCTATATCGGTCGAAGCTAGATCTTAAAATGCTTAAATAATTTAATCTTGAATCATCACTAGCGTAATTTGTTAGATTACAGGTGTAGTATATATGTCAAGTACATATATAGCATATTTAGCATATATGTATAGCATATATAGCATATTTAGTGATTCAAGATTGAAGCATTTTAAGCATTTTAAGATCTAGCTTCGACCGATATAGGATTCTAGTTTATCGATTACTTTTTATACTTTATAATTTAATGTACTCATTTCTATACGCGGATGACTATAAAATAGACCCAAAACTATAATATATAAAATAGACGAAATTCATTTACTTTAATATTATTTAAGCTTGTGAGGTTACGACGAAAATATTTAAAATTTAGAAGAACGCACACTGAAAAAAAGATTGGCTGACATATTTTACCATCTAATTTGCTGCAGCAGCCAATCTTTTTTTTCAGTGCAATAAATAAAATTAATTTCTTCGATATGTCTCTTTAACGTTTTCACTCACACGCAAGCCGATGGAAAAAATGTCCAAAAACTTTGAGACGTACTACACAATAATAAAGTCTCGTTACATAAATAACGATGTCATCATATGTCCTTGTCATATCACTGTCGCGGAGCTGAACCGTGTATCAGTCAAATAATTTCTATTATAAATGTAAAGATTTTAAAAAACTATTAATGAAAATGCGTCGATGTCTAAAAAAATTACCAAACTATAGTAGTTTCATAAATAAAAACGATAAATCAAAAGTCTGTTCTTTGTAGCTAAATTAATGTACACTCATACTTAAAACGAAACATATTTTGAAGTTTGAAACAAGATAGAAATTTTAGTGCGGGTTATAATTTTTCTCAGAGCATTTCACCTTTAAGCCTCGAGAATTCGTTCGCGAGCGATCGCACGGTGGCATCATCGTAAACTGGTGTAAACTCCACTATAGTGTCCATCATGTCTATCGATTTGCGTATCAAATCTTAGGAACTTGTAGTGCACACTGAACTCCAAGAGTTCCACTTCCACTATCGACGCGGCGAAGATCAGAGACACGCAAGCTATTGCTCAACCGGTTTGTAAGTTTCAACTACAGTAACTATACACCGTCACAACCAAGTTTTAATGACGTAATAAGAGAGATTGGACGGAAGTAACCGTGGACGGCGTGGACACGCGCGACCACTCGCGCGGCGCGCCATTGTAGCTCGCATGTTATATTGTAACGGAGTAATTAACGAAGATAAAAAGGCCCAATTTCACCAATATAGGATTAACTTTAATCTCAATTTAATTTACCCTTTATTAGGGATATTCGGTGCAACTCTATTCTTTATTATTTTATAAATAAACAATAAGTTAAACCGAATTGAAATTAATCTTACATTGATAGAACCAATCTTATAAGAGTGTTCGCGCGAAAGACAAATATCGTTATCAAGCAAAAACTTGCGTTTCTCTCCAACACGATATCTATCATATTGTAGACATATAACGTAAAAAAAGTTCTGATATTTTTTGTACGTCTTTATCGCCGCGTGGGAGATAAACAAACTCGAGGGTAAATAAACGATAAAGACTTATCATGGAATTGTAACACAAGAACTGACATTACCGATGACTTAAGGTATTTTATTTAAATTTGTTACATTTGTTAAATAATATATATTTTATGATTAAAAAATTACAAAAATTAAAATAGTGAATAAGGAGCAATGAAATTGAGCAAGAAATTAGTGTTTAGTAATGATAATTAAATGTATATTTCACCTGAAATCAAATTGATAAAAATTCAAACATGTCGGCTATACCTTATACATTAGACTATTCTCAGCTAATGCTAAATAATATTTCTTAAATATTCGTCAAATGTTCCTAAAATATCATTCAAGAATATTCTAGAATATCCTAAAATATTTATAGAATGTAAGAACAACATTCAAATAATACTAGTTTACAGTAAAAATTATTTCGAATCGAACTAGATGTTTCTTATAAATTTTTTAATGCTGAAAATGATGTTGCAATTTCAGCACCTTTAGGATAAATTTTCTCACAAACTTGACGTGATAGAATAATTTTATTTACGGATTCATTTTCAGCGACAAAAAATCTGTAAGAATCTTTTCCGAAAGAATTTTTTCTCTGAGACTTTGTCCGTTTGTGGTCTAGAAAGAAGTTTAAATTTATCGGACAGTGTATAATTACTAATTAAATAATTAATATTCAATATCCCCCTACTTTATTCTATAATCCTAATCCTCTTTAGTTTTTTTTATCAATTACGTTCTGTATATGCAAAGAACTTCTACTTATAGCATAATATCATTCTAGTTAGTAACTTGTCATCACTCTGATTAGTAAACTTTTACTAAAAGTAATTATGTGTTAAATGCATATAATATTTACAAAGAGAGTTATTTCAATAAAACTAAAATCTATAAAATCCCCTTCTTTCCTTTATATAGTACTATAAAATACTTAATAGAACATATTAAGATATATTACTTAATGGAACATATTAAGAGATTCTTGTAGTTTGCTCGTGATAAATTTTATATGTATAAAGTTCAGATAATTATTTAGAAATTATTAGGAACAGTAGATGTGATCGCCAATCTTAAGTGTGTGTGTACTTTGTGTTTTCTCTAATCTAGTTAAACAAATTCCAAATCTCAGCTTTCCATGGAGCTTTTCCCCTAATATTCTCAATGGCTCGATGATCTTTTCGCCAGTTGTTTGATCACCTATCATTTGACATCTTGTGCAAGAGCCGTTTACCTGCCATTAAATGCATTATAGCAATATACTTCGGATTAACAGCTTGGTCAATATAAAAAATTCATACTTTAAAATTGTTATTTCCAATGCGAACATGTTCCCATTGCATTTCATCAAAGGCTTCGCAGCCTTCCATAATAATGTTTGCTCTGAATCGATGCACTATATCTTTTTGGAAATTTAAGTCAGATATTTTATCTATGAACCATGACACACTTGCTTCGTTTACTGCTAAATAAAGTGCCTGATTAGATAGCTCTGTCTTATCTAATCCTATAAGAGAAGAGAAATTTTAGTTTTCTACTAATATAAATAATTATAATAACTTAAAACTTTGACATTTGTACCATTCTTTTGTCTTTCACAACTCCGTCGAATTAATCTAAGATTTGGTTTTCCCAATGCTAAACTTAGCCATTCAGAAACTTTCGATCCGCAATCAATACTTTGTACTTTACTTTCATATACATTGCTTTGATATTCCATCGACTTTTCATAAACATTTTCTAAAGAAATGTCAATTGTTGGCCTTCCTAAAATAATTTAATACCATTTATGCAGGATTGAGTACTAACTAGTTAAAAATATTTATGCACCGGATCGTAAAATTACCGAATATCGGATATCTAGACAGAATGTAACGTCGGATCCGATATCCGATATCCGGTTGGATATTCGAGAAGGCAATTTCTTCGAATCGGATATCCAATATTTTTCGGATATCCGACCGGATTTCGGGAAATTGTCTTCTAAAAAAAGGGCTGTAGAGAAAAACTTGTAATTTTGCTACAATATGGCATTATGAATATGCATACTTATTTCTAAAACATTTGTATAATAACAATTTTATAATAAATAAATTTAACTTTGACTTAATTTAGTTTAAAAAACCATTAACCCAACTTTGCATTTATGCTAATATATATAATACCACATTAAGCTATTGCAGAATAACTATAACTTATATTAATAAAATTTAGCCATCATTATGTACCTGGATATGTTAGTCTCATAATATTTTGGTTTTTAAGAATAACAGGTTTAAGCAAATATAGATTCGTATAATGCTTTTGCGTCAAGCAAGTTCCAGAAGATGTCATTATCATCCACTCTCTGTCATATTCTAGACCCTTTGAATTTAAATTCCACGAATCTGTAATTTCGTATGCTCCACATGATTTGATAGGATATATAAATAACCGTTGTAAGGTACATTTGTTTATTTGCGTATTTATTTTGCTAGAATTTATAGAATTCCTAATACGATCAAGGTTTTCATTTTCATTATGAAAATTGTTCTGAAAATTATTTTTCTCTTTTTTTGTAATACGTAAAACAGAATAATCTACGTTAGAATTGTAAAAACGCCCATGATTTTTAAAATTTCCCAGTTTGTGCTCTTTCCACCATTCCGGAAATTTTCTGATGCACGGTTCGTCAATAAATTTGGTAATCATAAGTAAAACTGTCTGAACGTCTTTAATTGTAGACATATATCCGAAGGAGATTCTCACTGCTCCGATCGGTTTCCCATTTATTAAATCTGTTTCACCACCGCATGTATATCCGGCCTCGTAATATTTGAGAATCTCTTTTGTCGAAAAAGATAAATGTCTTTGACATGCACCAGGATTACAAAAGCAGCCTGTCCTAAGATGTATCTTAAATAATGCTGCCATATTTAAAACTTCCATGTATCCTACATATTCGCCATTGGAACGCATAACATTAAATGTAACAATGCCGCCTTGCGATCTGCGATCCTCATAATCAGAATCAGAGTACAGTTTCACGACTGGTTTGTCGTTACAATGATGTAATGTTAACAGGGAGTGATGCAGAGTTTTGGCGAGAGAAAACACGTGTTTTGATATTTGATCCATAGTTAGCTTCGAAAGTATTTCGAAGCCATATTGTAATGATACGATAGATAGAAACGGCACGGTTCCATCTTCAAACCTACAAATTAGTTTACTTCAAATAATTTTTTTGAAAACGCTGCTTTTACTTACCTTTCATACAATATTTGACGTTTTCTGTGAAATCTTTCAGAACTCAGAGCGATGTCCACAGTACCACCACCGTAATACATTTTGTCTAGGACATCTGAGCTTTTGTTTTTAACCAGCAGAGCGCCGATACCAGTAGGATATCCGAACATTTTATAAAATGATAGACATACAAAGTCTGGTTTGTAAATAGACAAATCCAATTTATTTGTTGCCGAGAAGCTAGCTGCGTCGAGTAGAACGTACCATCTGGTCGATAGTTTTCTAGCAAAAACAGAAAGCGCCCCAGCATGCGCATTACTGATCCATTCAAGGGGATACTTCAATCCAGAAAAATTGCATTGCGCAGAAAACACGAAAAGAGAATTGCTGCTCTGTTTCTCGTTAGGATTGCGAAGAGTCAAAGGTTGATTAAGAATCTCAAACGCCTGATCATGATCCAAGTAAATGACATCGGCGTCTTTGGCCGCAATAACATCTCGCATACCGAGGATCGACATATGATTGTCCTGCACATAAACAAAACTTCCCGAATGTGAGGACGTTGCTGTCTTGTTATTTTCCGTCGTAAAATGGAATCCTTCCGCGACTATCTTTAGACTTGCTGTGGCGCCCGAGGTAAAGATAACGGTGTACTGATCAGAATTCGTATTGAAGTGACTCAGAATTCTGAGAATGGTGATCCAAATTAATTATAAATTCGTTATTATATATCCATTTATCTGCAATATGCAGCTGTAATCTCTTACCGATATCTCATACGGTCAATAATGTCGTGCGTCGGTGAATTTCCAATGGAATGTGGATTTCCATAGAGAGAATCACGCAAATTGGCGCCAACGTTTTTGACCTGCGTTTCTGAATACAGAGTTGCACCCGCGTGATCCACGTAGCACTCCCCTAAGAAAAAAAATATGGAAATAACTGCATTTTTCAATATCACATTCATTTGATACGTTTCCTTTATATTAAATTAAATTTAAAATATTGAAAACAAATGTTAAAGATCTGCATTTATTATCAAATAAATTGTATTATTAGTCTTTATATACATTGAACGCGGCAACGTTTGCCATGCTGCAAGCGTTGGCACATCCACAGTGCAAGAAGCATATACAGAGTGTTTGGAAAGTAATGAAAAATCTTTCGCATAGGGGCAGAATGGACTGAGAAGAAAAGTCCTCTATCATATTACAATTTTCGCAATGGTTAACGAGTTATTAACTTATGAAAAGCTAAATTCGCTCAGCCTACCGTCCAATGCAAGCGCGCGACAGAATAAGACCGCCCAACACGGTGAGGCGCGCGTTCTCCGTTGCAAGGCACGTTGTTTATAAGCGGCAATATAAACAACGTGATGTGTCTAGCGATAGCGAACGCGCGCCTCAGAAGCATGTTCTTTTTCCGAGTCATTAACAAATTGGTACTCTGGAATTACACAAACAATTATTTTTCATTGTACGGGCTAGTATAATTTTCAAATCAAAATCTCAATAAACGACTTTTATAT